CCCGCGGACTTGAACGTATCATGTCGCTCAGTCGAGTGGAGGGAGCACTGTGCGACACCATGGTCCTGCCGCCAGCGGTGGGAAAGGAAGATGGAAAGGGAGAGAATTGAAGAAGGGGGGGGGCAGATAACGAAAGTGACCTGATGTAAGGGGTGCAATGATCCAAGTTTTTGTAAATTGTGACCCTCGCCAACGGCTGCAGGTTTAAAAAGCTTCTCCTCACATTGTCATGCAGGTCGGAAGGCAGAGTATCATCGTCATGGGCGATAAGAGCAGGTCGCAACCTTACCAGAAGCCGACAATGATAAGCGACTGAAACCCCTGTGCCTTGACCTCCAGAGAGCCCAAGACCCCCACGCTAACCTCCGCATCTTTTCCCTGCTGGACGAATCCGGCGATCGTCGACGTTGCATAGGTTGCATCGGCCGACGTCTCGGCGCCGCCGTGATTGGTATCTTATCAATGGGAATGCTGTCGGCAACTTAATCTTGCTGGTACGGTACGACCCTCGGCAGTGTCTTACGCCGTGTAATAAATCCATTCAACTGCGTGTGAACTCTCTATTTCGAAGATCGGTCGAGGATTGTGTCCCTGATTGTTGTGCTGGGGTTGATAATCCACTCCCATTGACTGGCGTCTTAGGGTTTGTGTCCAAAAGCGGAAGTACCTCAAGCGATTGGAACTGGAATCGGACCAGAAGAAAAAGAACCCTTCACAACATCCGAAATGACAACACGTTTTGACTGTATTACCCTAGTGCAATAACGATCGGTTCAAATTGCCCAAAACATATTGTACCCCCTACTGTCTCCGTCGCTCAGCATCAGCGCGAATGCCTGCTTCCGCCCGTTCCTTCCAGCTGGCCTCCCAGCGAGATAGTGCCGGTCGCCCTTCAACGACATCGTCGCTAGCCCACTGCATTCTAGCCTGATCCAATGGCCAATCCGTCTCTCCATCAGGGCAGAAAATATAGAACGATCCCTTTTCCACTCCATCCACCAGTACCTCCGCGGCTTGACTAGGGTACCACGCCCCAGCCATCTTCTTTACACTCTCCTCCTGCGTAGGCCCAACATTCCCCATTAATCCAGTCCAGGTCCATCCCGGAACAAACAGGTGTGCAGATATATGAGCAGTCGCGGGATCCGACCGAAGATCATGAGCGAGGTGCTCCGTAAGGTTCTTGATGGCAGCTTTGGAGGCGTTGTAGGCGGGGACGCCACCTCCGGGGGGGTTTGTGATTCCTTGCTTGGAGCCTGTAATCACGATGGATTTAGGTGTGTTGGTTGACAGAAGCAGCGGGAGTGTGCCCTCGATGCCGTTCAGGGGTCCGAAGACATTCGTGTCGAATGTCTGGTTCAATCAGTTCGGTCCGACAGCTTCAAAATACTCCAAATTATACAGACCTTCTTCCATGACTCTACATCTGCCCAAGGCTTCAGTTTCCCTTCATACTGACTCTGCGCTCTCTGTTGCCTCGCCGCATTCAAGAAGACGAGATCCACTCCACCAAACGCCGATTTTATGGAGTCTGCAACTTCAGACCACCTCTTCTTATCACCAACATCGATCTCGTATGACTCGGTCTTGAGAGAAGGGTCCACAGCCGCAAGTTCATCTTTCGCTTTGTGAAGGTTGGCGGCATCGATATCGAGCAAGGCAAGGTGCATGCCCCGACTGCGACAGAGCTTGGCGGTCGCGAAGCCGATTCCGGAGGCCGCGCCGGTGATGAGGGCGGTTTTCTGGGCTTGCAAGACAGACATTATGGCCTTTTCGTATATTGACTAACACTCAATGCGACAGACGGAACATGGTGGCTGGGGGAAGAGAAAGGCATTTATCGTCTGGTCGTTCCCCGCTTCATCGCGGAGTTTACGGAGATAACTCTGGACCAGCATAAGCAGTCGTAAAGTAATGCACTATAGAAGCATCTTTATACCTGTGGATCCTCCTAGATAGTGAATATGCTATGGTATGGCATGCAATAAAACGTGGACAGTTGTGTCTGCAAGTATGGGCTTCATTTGCATCCCGATTGGGGTACTGCTACCCCAGGAAAGTCATGCCGATTATTTGCGGAGAAACAGTTACCGTGTTGATCACAGATTTGCCGGTAGGTACGTGCTAAGAGACCAAACAAAATTGTCTGACCGGCTGTTACTGGTCCTTCAAAAGATATAATGCCAAAAGAAGTGGTATTTACCCGGTTTAGCCGGTTCAAGCTTTAGAGAATGCGGAGGAATGGAGATCTAGCATGTGTCTAATAAATAGGCTTCAAGGTTTACCCCGGTATTCTGGTTCCTGAGTATATGTAGGCTACTCGAGCCTTGACGTGGAAAATAAGGCTAGCACACATTGTATAGGAAAAATCGGAGATCAGGATATCAGAGATGCTGCTACGTGTTTTACATCATATGCTTTCCCTGTTCGTCCTGCTTCACATTGCCTGGTCCTATCCTCTTGATTCAGCAATAGGCCGACGGAACAGTGGACCGTTTCTCAATTCAGATACTCACTGGGTTAGCATATGGACCGCCATGCCTCAGTTGACTGAGCCAGCCAATCTACCTCCACCTCCATATGTATAGCCACTATCAGAGATCCAGCATTCACTCTCTAACACTACTAGAACTCTTCGACATCCATCTTTCAAAACACTACTATTCGCCAAACCATCCGTGTTACCCATTCGGGTCCTGAGATTCGCTTGCGCTTGTCCAACGCGTTCGGTTTAGAGGATCTCTCAATTACCAAGGTGGCTATTAGCCTACCAGTAGACCAGAAACTCGGGACGAGTGCGATCCAGCCCAATACCACGAGGGATGTTCTCTTCAGTGGTAGCGCAGACACAATTATCCCGAATGGAGGTTTAGTCGTTTCAGACCCCATTACATTCCCAGTGAAAGCCCAAGATACGCTCGCCATCGACATCTATCTACAACAGGGCCAAGGTGGAGGAGCTATCACCTCCCACCCCGGAAGTAGAACGACATCATGGATGAGCTTCGGCGACTGGGTTGGAAAAAAGAATCTAACAGATCTTTCAGTGGATAGCGTCGATCACTGGTTAATTGCCCTATCTGTGCTGCCCCATTGAATATGAAACTAACAGACTGCTAGGTATTTCATCAGCGCCATTGAAGCTCTCCTCCCATCCACGAGTCGCAGCTGTGTAGTCATCGGCGACAGCATCACAGACGGACGAGGAAGCGATACCAACAAGAATAACCGGTAGGACTACAGATCGTGCTACCAACCCAAGCACAGCTAACAGCTCCAGCTGGCCCGACCTTCTCCTAACCCGCATGCAACAAACCCCAACAACTAGCTCCATCGCTCTCCTAAACCAAGCAGCAGGAGGCAACCGTATTCTCGCAGATGGTCTCGGTCCGAACGTGATCAGTCGCCTTGACCGCGACGCCCTGGCGCAATCAGGCGTCCAATACGGCATGGTCTTCGAAGGCGTCAATGACATCGGGGTCGCTGATGCCGATCCAGAGGTCCAGAAGCAGATTGGCGATAGACTTATCGTTGCATATCAACAGATTGTGACTCGTTTCCACGCAGCGAGTATTCCAGTGTTTGGAGCTACGATAACGCCCTTTGGCGCGCCGGGTAATGCCTCTGATGTACAGCCCTACTCGGATCCTATAAGGGAGGACACACGTCAGAGAATCAACGAGTGGATAAGGACGAGTGGTGTGTTTGATGCTGTTTTGGATTTCGATCAGGTGTTGAGGGATCCTGAGGCACCGGCTCAACTTGCGGCTAAGTACGACTCGGGCGATTACTTACACCCGAATGTAGCGGGCTATCAAGCCCTGGCGGACTATTTCCCTTTGGATTTGTTTGAGCAGTTTACAAGTTAGGGCTGGAACTAAGGCATATATCAACAATGGGTCAAGACTGTTGCTGAATATGGCTGACAGATGTAAACCTAACCGGCCAGGTTATGGCTAGGAATTGGGCTATCATCTATCAAATCTATACTGATCACTCTTTCCCACAAAAAATGATACATGAATTATCTGCCGCGTATCTCATTGCTTCTGTTTAAAGAATACTATATAGTAATGTGATCCTAACTGCGCCTTGGGTTCATTCCTGTAGATTCCTCTGATGTTGGCAATTTACCTTTCAAACATTTGCATTGACAGATGACTGTCTATCATAATTCATAAAAGAAAACTGCCATGCATGTTGCACCTTAATAGTGCCTGAGGCATGAAATGTGACCGGTGATCATTCGTTTCTTGGTATGGTCGCGTGTGAGCGTTCATAAGGACGGCGTCTCTGTCATTCAAGGGATTTGGATGTACATAGACGCTTAGGTTTGAACAGCTAGGGATTAACATGGGGGTTAAATCCCAAGCAGATAAAGATCATCCGGGAAAGCGTACCAGGATACGATTATTCGGGTCGCTTCCTATCATCGACGGGATTTCGACCTGGCAGTTATTAACACAAATCCTTCCGACCATGGTGGTTCTTCAGTCAATCTTGGACAGCTTGAGTGCTTACCCTTTGAGATTTGTCTTGAAATATGCCACTTGATGGACATCGAGTTCCTATTTAGATTTCGCCAGGTCAATCGTCGCGCCCAACATATCGTCAGTGCAGTGCACGGCTATCGAGAGACAATCACATATGCTTTTGAAGCTTTCTGTGTTATCCTAAGAACAAATACAGCGCCCTATTTTACTCTATATGACCTATTCAATGTCCTCCGTACGAGGGATTGCCTTATTTGCGGCTCCTTTGGTGGTTTCGGTTTCCTTCCGACGTTGATGAGATGCTGTTTCTCTTGTATTAGGGAAGACCGGTTGCCCCCTGTCATGTCAGTTGCTGATGCAAAAAGACTCGTAAAGTTGAGCTCTAAACACCTACTGAAGTCGGCTCCAGTCATAAAAACAATACCAGGAATAGATTCATTGGACGAAAGATCGCAAAAGCGGACGATGCAAATCGTGACTAAAGAGCATATTGCCAGCATATCGAGATACCCTATCAACGAAGAAGAAGCACAGCAGACTCGTCTCAAAAAGTCTTTACTCGTGCGGTATATGGTAACCACCGTCTTGCCCTATCTCGACACAACAAATGGTGACATTCAATACGGGATTTGTTGCCAGGTTGCCAGGTTGCCCTTAAAGAAGCTCTGAGGACATCTAGGGTTGAGGCCAATGCTGCTGCTCTACAAGATAAGGTTTATTCGTATGACGGTTTTATGAGACATTTCTGCAAATGTCGAAAAGCTCAAGACACTACTGTCTTTAAGTACAACAGGTATAGACATCGCTAAAATATCTAAATCTGTCTGGCGTGGCGGCTATTTCGATAGAAGGGCAGTGGTTATGTCCATTGACACATAGTTGAAGAGATCATTAACTTATTTATAATTAGCGATGAGTTAGATAGAAGGGCTTCTATGATCTATCCAAGGCTGGCATATAGCCCCGGGGGCCCCGGTGTATAAGTCCGGCATGGTAGGTGAAAGAAGAAAGAAAAGAGGAAGGGAGTTCATAAGAGGTATCTACTCTGTACTAGTAGTCAAAATCTTTAAGCATAACTGTGTTATGAAGATTACATGCTATATATATACTTCAATACCCTTCCTACAAGAAGAAATACGCAGATTTTTGAATGATATTATGGATTAGGCAGAATACTGCTGTAAAGGGGCCTACTCTGGTTTACTTTATAAAGAGGCAGGCGACAAAATTAATCCTGAAGAGAAAGAGAACTGTTTCTATGAACGAGAATTTGCACCTTGTTCACAGACCGTTGATAGTTTTGCAGCGATTTCATGGGTTTGGAGTTCTCTGAAGCACTGTATGTGGGACTGTAAATGGCCAAATCTGGTGCCAATACTTTGTCTTTCCATGAGCTATAGCTATTATACTCGGATATCAATAACTGGTCAGTCGAACTCTTTTAGGGAAGTTCTCAAGAAATGTGCTCTGTTTGTCACGCAGATGCCAGGCCCTCACCGCCTTTGCAATAAACCGGGTTTTTCTGCCAAGAGCGGTGGAGCACTCCGGCGGATTCAATAGACCACAATGGTAGATCCGGACTATCTCATGGCCCCCGGTCACATGGTTCCAAGTTGAAAAGGTACATCACGTGAATAACCCGGTTGAGTGCCCGAATGGGGATTAGCGCCAAGCATGAAACGGTTCTTGTCCCAAATCCTCTGGCCGACTCGTTTTAGTATCGAGCTTGGACACAACCAATGTCTAACATGAAGGTCCTTCAATATCGTCCGCATTCCAGACATACGGAGCATGTTCCACGTTGAAATGTATTCGGCCCCCGTCTCCTGTGTGACCCCTGCAGATGTGTAACGGTGTCGCGTGGCATTGATCGTTCGAGACTCACCTATATTACTGTAATATATACAATTATATATGGGTCTGGCGACGATACATACGGTATGCAGCACGGCCATATGCAAGTCATGGATGCGATCCCTGGGGTTATTCCGGATTAAAAACGTTTCTCATGGGGCATGCCCGTTCTATATATATGACTCGGAGTGTGTAGTAGATGACCCTCCCCCCCCAATTAGTATTGGCCTTGGCGGGTTGGCGTCGGTGATTATCCCCTTTATTAGTCTCTATTTCTCTATTTGTGGTAATAGAGATAGGCATTCCCTATTAGTTAGGACCTAGTGGTGGCTAACCCTCCAAGAAGCGCTAATTGAGGGGATGTTTGCGTATGTTGTATTTGATCGTACATGGAGGCATGATCAGGTTCGCTATTA